TCATTTATGGAATAAATGCACTATTGTGCTCGCCATGTCCGTCCGTCCGTCTGTCTGTCTGTCTGTCCGTCTGTCGGTCAGTCTGTCCGTGACCTCAAGTTTTCGTCGACGAGAAAATGCGCTCTCTGTCACTCACTGCTTTGAGTACTGAGTTATATTTTTATATGTATATGTGGATAATTTTTGAGATTGGTAGTTTAAAGTAGACATCCATATAGGGAAGGTAAAACATAAAAATAACTGTAACTTTTATCTACTGTATCTAACCCGTACTAGTTCGGTTAGGTTGATTGCAATAAAGTTGCATTGATATGTTTTGAAAATGTTTTATTATCAATAAATGTTTATGAGTAAATCCAAATAGCAGAACAATAAATATTTAGAGATTTCCAATAATTTTGGCCATTGTAGCGGCAAATGTAGCGGCGCTACATTATACTGTAGCGGTAGCGCTCGCTACAATCTAGTGGGTGTAGCGGTAGCGCCCGCTACATTTAGAGCATGTAGCGGTAGCGGTAACGGCCGCTACATTTCAAAGTAGCGCTGCCCGGCTCTGCTCATATTGTTTAGGCTATAATTGAGCTTGTGTATAAATAAGACTAGGTATGCACGAGAAGTTGATGTTGATGAATCAAGAGCATCCTTCGTGTCCTTCATGACGAATGACGATTGGTCATTTCCTCCCCTGCGTGGGCAAGCTCATCAGCCTTTGTTCTTCACTTCTTTTTTGTTAACATAGGCTAACTTAAAATGTGCTTTGACTCGTGATTGATGACAAATCACCAATGATTCATCATTCATCATTGCAGATGATGGCCGTCGTTTGAGTGTCGACTTTGTACCGATTAGCCTACTGTAGCTGTTCCTCTGTTAGTGTACAATTCCAAGCCATATTTACTTTATATTTGTTATACAGCAATCTTACGAAGGAAATTTTGGTTATGATTAAAAGGCCTACGAAGTAAACTGGTTATTGTGCCTTTCAAGAAAAAACACATTTGCTTTCTGTTATCGTTCCTCACTGTCGATTCGTTCTGTTTAGTGTTTACGTTTAGTCCTAGTCAGTCGTTGTCATGCCGCTTTCAGAACTGCGTAGTTCGATGTTATTTTTTTCTTTCTACAAAAGTGTTGGGCCTAAACTATCTATCAAATAATTATTTATTCGGTCTTCCAGATTTTGAAGTTGTTATTAATGAAGTATTTTGTTGTTTGAAATTCTTTTATTGAAAGGAATTTTTATTTCCATAAGACCATTTTTAATTTTAGCCTAGTTCCATTTCCTTGTGATTTGCATTTTGCATCCTACCTACGGTAGCCTATAAATAATGATGTTAGCAGGGCCTATTGATGTAATTATTGTAATTTGTAACAATTAAACATATTTATTATCTTTCCTTACAAAGTTATTACACAAATTTGCTGTTTACCTTTTAGAAAATGACATTGCTATTTTTACTAATTTTAGAGTGTCCTAAAATTGTGCAATAGCCTATTTATCCACGATCCAGTCTTGACTTGTTACTTGACAAGTTGACAGTTGATCTCAGTTCCAGCTCAAGATGATCTTAGATAATCTTTTTGATATTAAGTTTCACATGACGGGCTGGCACTGACAGTTTGAGTTTGTTAAGATTATAGACTAAGAGAGAAGATAGTTCCTAATTCCTAATTTCCTATTGTATCACTTGTGAACATGTTACATGCCACTGTCAAGTTGTCAACCACTGAACCACAACTGGCATCAGCAAATGTCAAAATTTTATTTATCAAATACCAATTTACAAAATATCTAGGAAGCTAATTGGATCTTGCTTCTGTCAACTGCCATCTCATCTGTCAATACCACAAATCACAAAAATTGCCAACTTGCCACTCAGCAGGCCAGCAGCAACTGCACTGCATTGACTGCTTACAAACTGCATTAGTACGTACAGTTAAAAATTACGATTTGTAGGGTTTTAATGCCACATAATAAATAAAAAACATTTTTGATTTAACAGGAAAAGTAGATAGTTGCCAGTAGGTTCTGTTTAAAGAATGGGTTGTTTTTGAAGGCCTGTAGCTTGTAGGCTGTAAGTAGCATAGGTACCTAAGCAACATGAGTGATAGATGATGTGACAAAGTTAGTGACATTGATGGTTCATGGTAGATGTTAGAAAGTTGAGTTTTCAGTTTTGTAATTAGAGAATAGATCCGTTCTATTGAAGGCTGGGCTGGCGGCCCACTGGCCAGTGGCCACTAGCAACATATGCCTTACTGGAAATGTACCGTACGCTAAAGCCACCTGTGAACACTAAACAAGACATAAAAGCTCATGCTTGCAGATATTTTCACCCATTCTCTCTAGCCTAATTTCTTCTGCAAAAATTATATAAAATAACGCTTTTGCTGCAATTTGTGAATATCAGTGATGAAATGATTTTTCTTAGCCATATTTGGAGAAATTACGCCTGATATTCCAAATTTGGACAGAAATGCTGAGGCAACTGGCAGCTTATGTGGCAATGATACTTAGTGTAGTGTTAGTTAGTGGGAAATTACACTAAGTGAGTTAGTGTAATTTTAGCATTCAGTTTGTGATAACTTTCTATTTACTGTTCCAATAATCTGATATCAGACATTATGTACAAAAAACCTATATAACTTGAGATAAAATTCTAGTATGATATTGGTTTAGTGATAGTACTGATAAGAAATGTTCCTCAGGTCTGTCCTCAGAAATGGTCAGATTGTGGCTGTGATCCATTCAGCCGTGTGCCACAAATGACTTGGACTTCCAACCAGGCTGGATTCTCTTTATTCCTTAATGAATGATATGGGCGTTAAATTAAAAATGTTACTATCCAACTTAGCTTTTTTGCTTTATACAAACTAAAGTGTTGATTAATAATGATGGATTTATATAGTAAAATGACATTAAATTATTTGTAAGGTAGAATAAAATGTGCAGGTCAAAGTTATGAGGCTAGTACTAGCAAATATGGTCAATTTTATGATGTACGTATTTGTTTATAAGCATTTTCTAAAATTATGCATTTAGAAAATAGGTATGTATTGTTATATACTGAAAAGATTTAGTAATATACCATACCTACCTACATCTTGTCGCTCTGCCAAGTCCCCTAATTATTAGATACATTTTTAAACACTCGATTTTTTCTTGATTTAAACAATTTTTAAATTAAGATTAACTTTTCAATTGGATTTAATTTCATCCATTTATGAATACATATAAACATACATTGCTTCTTTGTTCTTTTAAGAGAATGGACAGCATGTTAACTTTGATTTTTTAGCATAAAAATTTTCAAATTCTTAGAATATAATTTGTGTGTAATATTGGATTCTAGAGATATTGTTCTTCTATTCAACAATCAACATAAATTCAGCCTGGTAAAGATATGATTCAAAATATCACATGAATTATATTAGGATAGCCTAGTTTCAGTTTTCCAACCCAATATGATGTGTACACCTATTCATACCTATATATTTTTTATCCCTCCTAAATTCCACCATTTTAGCTGGTGATGCTATGTAACTTAATAATGTAAGTAAGTGAAATGATCAATAGACAATTGGTGAGCAGCAGAAGCTTGGTAATGTTATCTGAAATATTACTCATAAATTGTTTGTGGGCCTTATTGGGATATATATTAAGTTAATGCATATTATAACATGTCTGTCAATGGGTTAATTAAGTGACAAATTGTTTTCTTATTAAAGCTTTGATAGCTGTTGTTTATTGATTTCTGCACAACTTCTCATTTATTCCAGGCATAACAGGTGAATATATATCTCAGTATTGTGCTTTGTAGCTGCAGCAGAATGGCTTCTTTGAAGCTCTTCCACATCTTCATCATATTAGGTGAGTTAGCCTCAGGATAATTTTCTGTTCATATCAGATGTTTATTGGTGAAATAAAGGTTTACATTCATGAATTGGAAATGCATAAAAAACTTTCATTTCTTTTTATTTATTTAAGAATGTATTTTTATGTGATAACTGGCTATTATATTCATATTTATGCATATAAGCTGTATGATTGTTCATTTATTTATAAAGGAAACTTGTAAATAAATCAGCAAATATTCTGTCATGAATATTTTCTGTTTTCTTGTAATAAACTTCTCAGATGTAGTAAATTTCTGTCATTAAATAATTAATAACTATTTGAATTAAGGTATTTGTGTTGACTAATTGGTTTCAAAATGGAAAATAACTCTGAACTTTTATCATTTCTGCAGTTTACCAGTTGACAAAAAAATGTTTTGGCTACCTTTCCTGCTGTGAAAGGCACCCCTAACACTAGCTTTTGAAAGATCTGAATTATTCTGCTACCAGGTTTCATGAACATATTGATGTCACATGTAAAGTAACCCCAGATTCTTCTTAAGTTTTCATAATATATTTCACATCAAGTGACAGCCAGCAAAAATATTTTTGCTCCCTGCTAAACTGCAGAACTGCCAATTCATTTAATATGAATGAATGCTAATAATATGCAGCACAGAGTTATTAATGCTTATCTTGTCCTACAAAATATTACATTTGATGAGATTAGTAGATTGCTTAAACTGAAAAGTACTCTTGATTGAAAAAAAATAGGAAATGAACCTAGTTTAAATGCATTTTAATTAAAAATGTTTAGGAGACAAGCTCTATTTTCAGCTGAAAATTGGAGAAAATATATGAGTATACGATGATATGATCATGTCAATTGTTGAAATTATCTTGCCCACCAGGATTAGGATTGGCGACTGGAGCCTTAGGAGCCAAGCTCCTTGGAACCACGGAGTGCACCTACGGGCCAGCCTACTGGTGCGGCTCTCTCAGGTCTGTTGTGACTGTTATAGGCCCGTGTGTCATTAGTGTTCATCTAGATTGTTATGTTCCTGATCATCTAGGTTGTTATGTTCCTGATCATCTAGGTTGTTGTGTTCTTCATCTAGGTTGTTGTGTTGCTGATCATCTAGGTTGTTGTGTTCTTCATCTAGGTTGTTGTGTTGCTGATCATCTAGGTTGTTGTGTTGCTGATCATCTAGGTTGTTGTGTTGCTGATCATCTAGGTTGTTGTGTTGCTGATCATCTAGGTTGTTGTGTTCCTGATCATCTAGGTTATTGTATGCCTGATCTAGGAACACAATCTAGGTTTATTGTGATCATTAAGGTTAGCTTTGTTCTTCATCATCTAGATTACATTAATTATTCACCAACTTGCTATAATGATAGGTTTGTTAGGTTATTGATTAAATTTTCCTGTGCCGAAAGCTAACTTGTTCAAATTGCTTGCTATTAATTATAAGCCCTTGCTGAATATAATCAATTAAACTTAATAGTTGTGAATTATCCTAAAATTGGCTGCTAAAATGATGTTCATCAAACAATTGAGATATTTGTGCATATAATTGATGCTTTCAGCAAGCATGTTTAATAGCGCCATTAGATTGGTAAAATTCGATGATTCTCTTTTCAACACAATACTCCATATTAGGATATCCAGGAGTTATACTGAAGTTATATAGGTATAAGTTTTTAATATAAAAAATACTGTACATTTCTATTTTCATCTAACTAAGGAGAGTATGGATACCTTTCTCAAAATGCAACTAAACATTGAGTTAGTGTCTTGCAAATTTGTGCATCTGTATCCTCAAAGTCCATGTTGAAATGTAATGCCTGTCTTGGCCTTTTATATTGAACTTTACTATTATATTGAGCTATAAGGTTTTTAGACTGAAAAATAGTATGAAAATCAATTGCAATGAACAAAAATCATATTTTGATGATGCTCGTTGAAAATAACTTGAACTTTATTTTTTTTCACATGATGAGCAAATATAAAACAATCATTTAGGGCGCAACTTGATGCGTGAAAATTGTCCTCATGCTGAATCCAATATAGGTACATTCTTTAGTTATGGGGAAGAATTTTTGGAATGTAAATTTTTTCTTTTCTGTAAATTACTTCAAATGCAGGTTACCCAGTACAATCTTTTTGTTCACCTCCAACTTCTTCACCTCGATTACAGACAAGCAAGTTCTATATTTTTTGTTCACCTTCACTTACATGACAGGAATGCGAAGCAATGCTCTGCAGTGAAGCACTGCATCCAGACTGTGTGGGAGACCCAGAAGCTTCCTGCCGACAACGACGACATCTGTGGCATCTGCAAGGACATGGTCGAGCAAGCGCGAGATACTCTCCAGAGCAACCAAACTCAGGTCAGCAGGGCTGGTAATCTCTTCACATGATGTGTGATTTTTTCAAAAATTGAAAATTATTGTTTTGTTGAAATTGTCTACCATTAATATATGACCCTAAAATCAACAGGACATATAACTAATTGTTCCGGCCCTCAGCAGGACATATAACTAATTGTTCCGGCCCCCAGCAGTACGTATAACTAATTGTTCCGGCCCCCAGCAGTACGTATAACTCATTAATACATGACCCTGCCCTCAGGATTATAATTTACTTCTGCCCCCAGGAGGAGCTGAAAGAAGTGCTGGAGGGGTCATGCCACCTCATCCCTCTGAAGGAGGTTGCCGTTGAGTGCGTGGAGCTGGCGGATGAGTTCATCCCTGAGCTCATCGAGACCCTCGCATCCCAGATGAACCCGCAGGTGGTGTGTGCCACAGCTGGTCTCTGCAACTCTGTGCGTGTTGACAGACTTTTGCGTGAACGTAGCCCCCCGTCTGGCAACTCTGCTCCTGGCAACCCTGCTCCTGGCAACTCTGCTCCTGGCAACTCTGCTCCTGGCAACTCAGCCACTGAGGTTGGTTTTATGTTATACAACTTGTATCATGTATCATTCATGTAGAGAATCATGTAGACTTTTATCATGTTGAGAGTTTGAAGTCATTCATGTGTTGCAGCACGTGTGGAATATGCAAATACACTAATACAGTGACAGAATTTTTTTAGATTGTCAAACTGATGATGGTGCTGGACTCCAAAATATTTTTTATATCGATATGGTGAACTTACTTGGCGAACAAATATTGATTTTTAAATTCCTTAAATTTTAAATTGGCGTTTCTTTGATTTTAAATTCCTTGTGAACTTGCGATATAAGCATACTGATAATATAAGTACTTGGTGACAGAATTGTGGCAGTGCAATGTTTCATTGCTTCAGCCCTGCCATGATACAGTTCTTAGATTAAAATCATTCTCACAACTGGAATTTATATGACGCAGTTAAATAGTAACACAGAAGGTTCAAGAAATGACAGCTTTTCAGCAATTCTGTGACGACCTTTCTTCTCATAGATCGCATCTCATTAGGTTTTCATAGTTTTTTAAGCCTAATTAGGTCTTACCATAGGTTTTTTTGCACCTGATTGATTAAATGACTTCATTAAACATCCACACCCACGAGAGTATACAATAGTCATTCATATCACTCAGATAAATGAATGGGTATTATTGTCCAAATATAGTGACACACTAACTCATTGCAAAAGTGGAGAGTGGACGTAACACAGCCTCTTGTCCGGTCAAACTGGGACAGAAAGGCAAAAAGTTCATCCCTATGGACAAAATCCCACTGAGATCTCTGTGTGGACAGGCAAAGATAACAGGACAAGTGTATAGCTTATTATTGCCTTCACTTGGTTCTCCTGCTCTTTCATTCCAAGGTGCCAGTTGATTAATAAATGACTCTGGTTGTTTGTATGAATTTTTTCAATGGTCCTGTTATTTATAGGAGTTATTTTAAATAGTTTAGTTATTTTAAAAAGTCGAGTTTTTCTTGAATGTTTAGTTCTTTCTTAAAGTTATTTAAAGGCTTGAATTATTTTTTAGGAGTTATTTCAAATAGTCAGGTTATTTTACAGAGATATTTTAAGTTAAATGGTCGAGTTGTTTTATAGAGTTCATTTAAATGGTCACTGTTTTTTTCTATGAATTATTGTTAAGGGTGGATTAAAAGGGTTATAATTATAAAAATGGTGTAACATGTTGATGACGACATGCAACCAACTTCTACCTATTTCTTCATCTCCAACTTCTTCACCTCAATTACAGACAACCAAGCTCTACCTTTTTGTTCACCACTGTTTGTTGACCTCTACCTACAAGCCTAGCTCCACTTTTGAATGACATTTGACTAATGTGTTTTTATGTTTTTATAAAATACTGACATTTCAGTTGATTGAAATGCATGCATTGAATCGTAATGATTTTTAAATATTTTTATCTTTTCAAAAACCGTTGAAAATTCTACAATCACAATAACTGCCTAGCTTGGGTATATATTAAAATATATTTAGACAAGGGCCAAGATAATTGACGTGGTACACAAATGTACCACTCCGTCTATGAGCAATTCAACGTGTGGTATACATGTGTACTAGTACCGTACTCTGTTGTCATCGTGTTGAATGGTTCCAAACGGTTAGTTTAATTGGTCTAATGGAACAGGTTACAACTACTGCTGCCACTGACGACTGCAGCGACTGCAACAGGTTCATCAACGACTACATCAACATGGTGCGCTCCACCTCTAAGGAGGAGGTCAGTTTACTTTTCAATGACAGCACTTCTTTCACGACAAATGTCGCGACTCATGAGTGTTGGTCATCATGGCCCACTAGTTTTTCAGAGTGAAGAGCAGTTTTATGATTTACGTAGTATGTAACCTAGGCGTAGAGTCGTGATTCAAATCGAATTGAGCCTGTTTTTGATAAACGGCCTGAAGAAAATAGATGATATTTTATGCTTTATCCGCTACAGCTGATAGATTGAATTTAATCGCTTTATCCCCCGGCAGCTGAGGGATTGAATTCAATAGCTTTATCCCTCGCATCTGATGTATTGATTACTTTATCCCAGGCAGCTGAGGGATTGAATTCAATAGCTTTATCCCTCTCAGCTGCTAGATTGATTACTGTATCCCCTCGCAGCTGATGGATTGAATTTAATAGCTTTATCCCCGGGCATCTGATAGATTGATTACTTTATCCCCTGCAGCTGATGGACCACCTGCTGGAGATCTGCGGCCAGCTGAGCACGCTGAGCGACGGCTGCAGCGCCCTCGTCAGCGTCAACATCGACGCCATCTACGACTTCCTGACGAGTCAGCTGCAGCCTGACAACGTCTGTCAGCTCATGGGTGCGACTTGGTCTTAATTACTGACTCTTTTAATTAATTCATTAATGTTAATGTTTAATTAATGTTAAATGAATCAATAACTAATTAATTAATGATTCACTGCAACCTGACGACGTCTATCAGCTCATGGGTGCGACTTGGTCTTGATTAGCGACACTTTTAACCTTCATTGCAGCCTCAATTAAGCTTATCTTCAACTTAATTATGTTTCCTAGAATTGTCAATTAATTGGCAATATAGCCCAAGTGGCGAAGACCTTATTCACTACGATAAATAAATAGCATATGAAAAAACTCATGACCAGCATGATGATGTTCAAAAGATGCATCCGTTCTTTTCCGTACAATAGCAGTAATAATAATAGTCTTATGGCGTGCTCTATGTTGATATTTTCATCACGCTTGAACTCTGTTGATACGTTCACTACACGTCTGTTCATCACTAACAGGGATGTGTGGTGACCTGTTCGGTGGTGCGATGAAGGCCCAGGCTGTGGTGAAGAAGACTGGTGATGAGGCTTGCGACTTCTGTGTGGTGATCGCCCAGCACTGGAAGGATGTGCTCACCACCAACACATCACTCGACGAGTTCAAGCAGGTCTGGCACATCACTGGGCTCTTTTTTTAGCGCATTTCTTTTTATAGAAAAAATGCACTATTGTGCTCGCCATGTCCGTTTGTCTGTCTGTCTGTCTGTCTGTCTGTCCGTCCGTCCGTGACTTCACGTATTCGTCGATTTTAAGAAGCGGGCATGCCTGTATCAAAGATACGACATCTCTAGCTCTAATGCACTTTACTAATCGCAACGAAAACTGATTTATGCACGAGAAAATACGCTATCTGTCACTCACTGCCGTGAGTACCGAGTTATATATTTTTTTACAGTTATAGTTTGATTTTGTCAATTATTGGATTCTTGAAGTTCATTTGAGACAGCCCCATCTTCAATGGCTGATGCAATCCACCAGCGACATCGAAGATAAATCACGGTTTACTGAGGCTCAAACCTGCAACTCACTACTGCAAACTATGTACCGCTGACATATGCCAAAGACCTTGCAACTGGTCTTGAAGCCTCCCCCTCCCCTTCAGATGCTCCTCCATGTCCCTGACCTCCCCCTCCCCTACAGGTGTTCCCCCATGTCCCTGACCTCCCCTACAGGTGCTCCCCCATGTCCCTGACCTCTAAGGGAGATAAGGTCTAGCAAGTGAGATAAGGTCTAGCAAGTGAGATAAGGTCTAGCCAGGGAGATAAGGTCCAGCAAGGGAGATAAGGTCTAGCCAGGGAGATAAGGTCTAGCAAGTGAGATAAGGTCCAGCAAGGGAGATAAGGTCTAGCAAGGGAGATAAGGTCTAGCAAGGGAGATAAGGTCGAACAAGAAAGATGAGGCCTGACAAGAAATATAAGATCCAAAAATAGAGATAGTCACCAGAAAACACAACGCATAAAGATGATATCGCTAAAATAAAAAAATTTACCCCGATTTCCTTGCTTGTGATGAAATTAAGCCTTTATGTGGCTGATAATTCTGTAGATGTCTTCCATTTTACGTTCTATCTTTCCTTTGTAGTCGCATTTTAATGACCTGTATGGATATCGGCCACCTGCACCCCCTTCTCTCCCCCACCTCCATAACCCTCCCACCACCCGCAGGCGGTGTGGACGATGCTGCATGTGGGGCCCGAGGACCCCTCGTCCCTCAAGTTCACGGGGCGCGACGAGGCCAACTCCTACGCCCTGCCCCGCGTGCCCCTCACCCCCAGCATCAGTGAGTGGGCTGGAACTTGTCTAGATATTTATTCTAGGTTGTCGGGCCTGTCAGCTGCCGCATCAGCTGAGGCACCGCATATAGGCCTATAGTGATAGTTCTTTAAGTACATCGCGTTGTTTAACTGTTGATTCTATAACCACGAAGTTAGAAAGGGCACTTGTAGACATTTAAGTTCAATAACTTTATTCATGAAGTAGGTTAACACAATTAATCACAAATCGGTATAACGGAAGTTCATTTAGGACTATAGCTTATTGATTAAACAGTTCGGACACTGGACATGTAAAAGGCTAGCGTATCAGGATGCTATAGAAATCTCTGTATTCGGCGCCACGTGTCTCTTCCAACTGACTCTCCGGCTATTCTCACAACGACCTACAGTTTCCGTTTTCTAATTTTACAACACAAAACAAGTCCAGATATTTAAGCTTAATGAAGCATTTGGAAAATGCTTTTTCCAACACGGTACTGCAGGCTATCAACTAGTCTAGGTACTAGTTGATAGCCTTCCTAGCTTTCTGAATATCTGAAGTCTAGATAAAACGAGAGAAGATAATGAATTTCGAGGTATTAATTGAGCTCCGGGATGGAGGGATGTATCCTGCGAGGAGTGAACGATCCTCGGGATAGAGGAATGAACCCATTGAGATTTGTTAATATGCCTAGGAACATCGTTGTTATGTAATAATATTAGAAATTTTACCTATTGGGATATTTTTTCGAGATCTTCAGATTAATGCTCGAGTAATATTTTATCGACTGCAGGGATGAAGGCAAGCATAAATCTTATTTATTTTACAGAAATCTCAGTGGCGGGAGAGAGCGGCCGGCTGCCGGGAGATGACCAGGCATGCACCATGTGTGAGTTCACCCTCCACTTCATCCAGATCCAGCTGCAGGACAACCACACCAAGGTGCATAGTTTCTCTAACTAATATTCTATGACAGTTTAATTATATTCCCAGGAGATGATATTGTCTAGCGAAGTTGTTACACATTGTCTAGCAAATATTCGAATCTATGCTTTGCAAAGAATGTCTAGCTAATATTCAATTATCTCATTAAGATGTGTTTCCCGGCTAATATTTAATAATATTCAGTAGCTAATTTTGCATAACATTCCGTAGCTAATGTTTAATAACATTCTCAAGCTAATATATAATAATATTCAGTAGGTTATATTGGATAATATTTGCAGGAGGCGATTGAGGCTGCGGTGAAGTCGGTGTGCTCGCACCTGCCCCGCAACCTGCGCGAGCAGTGCGACGACTACGTGGACGCCTACGGGGACCAGGTCATCGCCCTCCTCCAGCAGGAGATAGACCCCAGCGTGGTGCGTGGTGGTGTGAGGGGGGCTAGACCCCAGCGTGGTGCGTGGTAGACCCCAGCGTGGTGCGTGGTAGACCCCAGCGTGGTGCGTGGTAGACCCCAGCGTGGTGCGTGGTGGTGTGAGGGGTGCTAGACCCCAGCGTGGTGCGTGGTAGTGTGATGGGTGGTAGACCCCAGCGTGGTGCGTGGTGGTGTGAGGGGGGCTAGACCCCAGCGTGGTGCGTGGTAGACCCCAGCGTGGTGCGTGGTGGTGTGATGGGGGCTAGACCCCAGCGTGGTGCGTGGTTGTGTGAGGGGGGCTAGACCCCAGCGTGGTGCGTGGTGGTGTGGTGGGTGGTAGACCCCAGCGTGGTGTGTGGTAGTGTGATGGGTGGTAGACCCCAGCGTGGTGCGTGGTGGTGTGATGGGGTATAGACCCCAGCATGGTGCGTGGTGGTGTGAGGGGGGCTAGACCCCAGCGTGGTGCGTGGTGGTGTGGTGGGTGGTAGACCCCAGCGTGGTGCGTGGTGGTGTGATGGGGGCTAGACCCCAGCGTAGATTTTTGGATTTTTTTGCAGTTCCTCTCTAGCCAAATTCTTTTTTCGATCCCCTCTTAAGTAGCTTCCTGTATCCCCCTGCAGCTGTGCCCCATGCTGGGCCTGTGCCCCAGTAAGAATGTGGGGGCGTCTCCCCCTCTTCCCCTCCGCGTGGGGCAAGCTCTCCCCCAGGCTGACGTGACGTGCGTGGCGTGCGAGTTCATCATGGTTAAAATCAAGGAACTTCTGCAGAACAAAACTGATCAGGTGAGCGAGCACCCATACCTCCTGGTATGCCAGCACCCATACCTCCTGGTATGCCAGCACCCATACCTCCTGGTATGCCAGCACCCACACCTCCAAATATGCTTGTTATATTAAAGCAAGCACCAATACCTCCAGGTATGTTTGTTATATTAAAGCAAGTGCCCATACCTCCAGGTATGTTTGTTATATTAAAGCAAGTGCCCATACCTCCAGGTATGTTTGTTATATTAAATCAAGTGCCCATACCTCCAGGTATGTTTATTGTATCAAATTCTGCTCTTGAGGCTGGAATGACACAAATGAGAGGTGACCGGAGCCGTGTTGGTTGTTCTCACCCATAGTTTGGATTAGTTATTAGAAGCGATGTATTAAGTAAATGATTATATGTCCATTTAAATAACTTTTTTCTCTTTTTAGGCTTATATTATTTTTTGCATCTAATCATCTGGTAGTTCGGTGTGTTAGGTCTACGCAATTACGCGAGATAAAAACTAAAAAATTCAATTGATCAAATCAAATTATCAAATCTTGAATTCATCGAATGCTTTACCAGCCACCAAAAGCAGCACGACGAGGCCGGATTAAATATTTCATGTATTTATATTGGGACTCTTTGGGTAGAACTGACGTACATCTCATGTAGACTTTGCAGTCGAGATGAAATTAACAGATCTGCATTCAACATGCGAAAAGGATGTTAATTCTAAAATGTAACCATATTATGATGAGTTACTGGTGGGGAATTGAATCATGATTAAAGAGGATCAGCAGGTTGATGTTATCTTCAACCACACGACTAGGTTGCAACCCATGTTGAGGGGTGGTTGGGGGAGGTTGAGTGTGCTGGGATGTCCCCCGTTGGTTGAGCTAAGCCCCCTGGTTGCAACCATGTGCAGGAGGCGGTGCGTGCAGCCCTGGACTCGGTGTGCGGTGTCCTGCCACACTCCCTGGTTGCGCAGTGCACCAAATTTGTGGATGAGAACGCGGTGGAGGTGATGCAGCTCATTGCTGGTGGTGTGCAACCAGAGCACATCTGCACCATGCTAGGCTTCTGCTCACCAGCCGCCACCACCACCAGCAACCAAGGTTAGTGATACAACCAGAGCACATCTGCACCATGCTCGGCTTCTGCTCATCAACCACCACCACCACCACCAGCAACCAAGGTTAGTGATGCAACCAGAGCACATCTGCACCATGCTCGGCTTCTGCTCACCAGCCACCACCACCACCACCAGCAACCAAGGTTAGTGCTGCTACTGTATTAACTAACAACTTAGGAGACTTGGTGCACATAAATTATTCGACTAGCCTGCCTAGACAACTTAGGTCTATACAGGGTGCGTACCGGTCATGGAAAACCTGGAAAGTCATGGAATTTGATTTTTCATTTTCCAGGCCTGGAAGTCATGGGATTTCGTTTCAGATTATGGAAAGTCATGGAATTTGCAAATAAATGAAGAAAAAAAGGAAGTGTTTTTTTTCTGTGCTGCGTGTGTTAACCCATTACTGCCGAGCAGTTCCATTTGGAACCAGCGGAGAAAAATGGATTCGTAATAAAATTGTAAGATCAAATAAGTATTCAAGTGGATGCGTATAGGTTTGATACACATCTTGTAAATGTTCTGGCAACATTTGGTTCTGATGCGCCGACTACTCTCTTTTCAGTTAACATTCAAAGATTACTAGAAGCAGGTTATGGGAAAGTCATAGAGTTTTGTTCTAAATACCGGTACTCACCTTGTCTATAGCCCACTCGGTCTAACGCTGAGTCCCCCACAGGTGTTCTTGCCCCCCTCAGCGCCACCCACCAGCTGCCCATCACCCGCCTCTTCCTGCCCACCCAGCGTACGTGGCGGCCCCCGAGTAGATGAGTCAAGTAGATGGGTGAAGTGAATGAGCGAAGTAGACGAGTGAAGTAGACAAGAGCAGTTACAAGCTGTTAACGCCCTGCCACCAGCCTTCGTCGATCTGCTCGATATTAGAGATGATCTCCGAGGGGTTTAATGAGTTGATTGCCTGTAGTGATTGGCAATTAATGCGGGGATTGGCTATAGTGATTGGCTATTAATGAGTTGATTGTAATGATTGGCTCTCAATGAGTTGATTGGCTGTAATGATTGGCTATCAATGAGTTGATTGGCTGCAATGATTGGCTATTAGTGATTTGATTGGCTATAAATGAGTTGATTGGCAATTAATGAGGGGGATTGGCTATAGTGATTGGCTATTAATGAGTTGATTGTATTGATTGGCTCTCAATGAGTTGACTGGCTGCAATGATTGGCTATTAATGAGTTGATTGGCTGCAATGATTGGCTATTAGTGATTTGATTGGCTATAAATGAGTTGATTGGCAATTAATGAGGAGATTGGCTATAGTGATTGGCTATTAATGAGTTGATTGTAATGATTGACTCTCAATGAGTTGATTGGCTGCAATGATTGGCAATTAATGATTGTATTGGCCACGACAGAGCTGGAGACGCGGGGGCAGTCTAAGGTGTGCGTGCTGCAGGACCTGTGCCTCCTGCTGCAGGAAGTGTGCCTCCTGCTGCAGGTCACAACAACCCCTTTAATTTACTGCCGTATAAACTCTACTTTACTTGGACTGCGGCTATTGGGGTCTGGGAACTGCAGGAGGTGCAGGAGGTGGCTTCCTGCAGCAGTTGTTCTTCATGTTCCTGACATATTTAATGTTACTGCAGGAGGAGCTGGAGCAGAAGGTGGAGCAGGTGTGCGTGCTCCTGCCCAGCTCGGTGCAGGAGGACTGCCTGGGCTTCATCGAGCAGTACGGGGACGCCCTCGTGCACCTCCTGCTGCAGGAGGTGTCGCCTGCCTACGTCTGCAGGAGCCTGCGTGTCTGCAAACAGACTAACCTGCCTGCACTTGGTGGGTACAATCCTGCTCTTTCTTCTTATTAGTCCACTAGACCTTTTCACGTCCCCTAAATAAGCCCGCCAGTTGATGTTCTCAGTATTGACCCTGGTCTAATCTTACAGAAATGCCCCACGCGGTTTCGAAGAGGTCTGCCACCCAGCAGACCCCTACAGAGGAGAGCTGCTTGGTCTGCAAGGCGGTCTACAACTCCATCAAGGGCGCTGCAGACCCTGCCTCTGCAGCGCAGCAATTCTGTGACAAGCTGCAGGACTCGCAGCAGCAGACCGTGAGTATAGACCTCCTGCAGCAGACGGTCTAAATATGGGGCTAGCGAAAGCACAGCTTTGCTAGACCGCCTACAGTGCTGCTGGTCTCACTTCGTTTATTAAAAAATATTTACGAAATAATGTTCATACAGATCATAAAATGTATGTAAGTTATTCCGAACGTATGTAATTAGAAAAATATGTACAAATTATTTAAGAAATAGGTACAAGGAGTGCCAAATATACTGTACAACATAATTGTTATATGAACGGAATAACATTTCATATTCTGAAACATATATATGATTAATACGTACTAATGTATGAGTAGTACAAAATATAGGTACCATATAATGTAATTGAAATCTGAACAGAATAATATTTCGTGTTCTGAAATATATATTTTAGTAATACCGTAATACGTACTATACTTTGTAATTATATGTACGGAACAGCGTGCCTAATGTCAGTAAATTCAACGTACAGTGCGTGAGCATAGACGTGGCCGCCCTTACCACCACCGCCGGGGCCTCTCGCACCGCCGCCTGCGCCGCCCTCCGCTACTGCGCCCCTTCCAAGGGCCTCATCGGCTCCGAGAAGTGCACGTGGGGCCCCTCCTTCTGGTGCCAGAGTCTGCTGCACGCCCAGTCCTGTGGGGTGAGTGGTGGCCCAGTCCTGTGGGGTGAGTGGTGGTTTAATTGCTGAGACTTGGTTGACGTGCAGGCAACCCCCCATTGCGAGGAGCGGGTGTGGGTGGGGGGCGTCGCCCCTGCTTGAGGGCCCCATGCTGCTGGGCCCCTTCCTCCTGGGCCCCTTCCTCCTGGGCCCCTTCCTCCTGGGCCCCACTCAACTTACTCAACTTTTAAGTTTTATGAGTTCCAACTTCGACGTTTCCAAGTTGGATGGTTTCTGATCCCGGGATCTAAGTTAGCATTTCAGTTTCTAGATCCTGAATTTATTTGGCTGATCTGAGTTGCCGGTCTAACTTTATGAACAACTTTTTGCGTTTAAACTTGGCGGGTCAAATATTTGTGACTGTCAAGTTCTTAACTTCAGATTTCTTAGCTTATTGTGTCAAGCTTTCACGTTCTTATTGAGTTCTGAGTTCTAATTTCAACTTGAGTTTTTATAGTTCTATTTAGAAGTTGTCAACTTTTTGATTCTATTTTGCAGTTTATTTGTTTGCTGTTAATTTTTCGTTGCAACTTCAACCTTCGGAAGTTTCAAGTTTTCCTAGTTTGCAGTTTTGATGTTCGTATCCGAGTTGTAAGGCCTGAACTGGAGTTCTAGAACAGGTATTCATCAAGATTTGTCAAGTTCGTCCACAGAAAAGTTATAAAGTCGAATCTCTTAGCTTCAGAAAACAAGTTTGCTTCATCGGGGGCTGAAAACAACATCTACCCTCACAAGGGAAACGTCTACCCTCACAAGGGAAACGTCTACCCTCACAAGGGAAACGTCTACCCTCACAAGGGAAACGTCTACCCTCACAAGGGAAACGTATACCTTAATTTAAGTCTTCATCGAGAGAAGATGTTAATAGTAGACGTCGAGCTCTCAAATCCACCTCCAAATTTCCCTCAAGTTCAGAAGATTACTTAATGCGAATTGTACCCCATTTTTTCTGTATGGAATCGGTATTCTGCATAAGCTTTGCATTATTTTTTAGTGATGCAGCTTTTGCCTGGATATGTGTGAGGAAGGAGTGTCCTAGAACTTGGGTTTAAGTTTTAGTTTAAGTTGATTTGTAGCCTTAGTTAGTTATATTTTATTTACGGTATATATTTGCTAGGTAATGCTGTGGTGACTAGAGGGGTGACTAGTGCACTATGGACACTAGTGCACTACACTGCTACACGAGTTAGTACACTAGTGATCTATGGACACTAGTGCACTACACTGCTACGAGTTAGTACACTAGTGATCTATGGACACTAGTGCACTACACTGCCACACAGTTAGTACACTAGTGATCTATGGACACTAATGCACTACACTGCCACACAGTTAGTACACTAGTGATCTATGGACACTAGTGCACTACACTGCCACACAGTTAGTACACTAGTGATCTATGGACACTAGTGCACTACACTGCCACACAGTTAGTACACTAGTGATCTATGGACACTAGTGCACTACACTGCCACACAGTTAGTACACTAGTGATCTATGGACACTAGTGCACTACACTGCCACACAGTTAGTACACTAGTGATCTATGGACACTAGTGCACTACACTGCCACACAGTTAGTACACTAGTGATCTATGGACACTAGTGCACTACACTGCCACACAGTTAGTACACTAGTGATCTNACTGGGCTCGTGTAAATAGTTACTGGATTCTTCCGTGGCCAGTAGCGCATATACACGAGGCCAGTGGTAGGGTAAATAGTGGCAAATAGTACTTGAAAGTTTTACTGGCCGCCACTAGTGGTCTCGTGTAGAAGCACCTTAAGGCACGCATTGCCAAGCCTTTGTGGTTGTTGCAGTTGTCACGATATCTTGTCTTGACTTACACTCAGAGAAAACACTGGGTTTATCCAAATAACTAAGCACTTTTTGCTTGTGGCTCATCCTGAACCGATTTGGGGCGGCAAACAGACGTAACTATGCTACGTGCACAAAGTGTGTTACTATTCTTGAATAAAATGACCTATTCATTTATATGACTTGGCCAGGAAACTCGCGTTGGCCTTATCCACAGCTGCAAGCTGATGGTGAGACGGAAAACTATGTTGTTTTAAAAGTTTTATGTGAAAACCATCGTTGAGGTGAACTGAAGATAATAAGAATAGCGGTTTCAGTGTTTGTTGGCCGTAGGCCTGTCGCCGATTCTTAACATCGCAGAACATCCACTGCTTCTTGCGGTCTCGAACTCGCAACTCACTGCTACAATTCTGCTGTGCTTAACCGCCCGGCCTTCTCGCGAATTCTGACCAGAAACTGGCGCACAGAGCTGGGATCGAACCCGCGCCTCTCTGCTCCAGTCTTGGTACTCTGAACTGTAACCACTGGGCCACCCTGTTATATACATACAGTTTATATGTTATTTTTGTAGAAATATAGTCAATACGTCGTGTAAATGTATTTTTGAGGGGGAAGGGCGGTAGGTGGATGCTGTGCATGACGATCGTTTGGAGGGAAAGAATGTTGTTACTGTTGCTATTTCTAGATGGTGTCACGGAATGATGATGATCATAGTTAGGGATAAATGTTGGTACATGATTAGTATAGCTGGAAGCGTGCTGACCTACACGCAGATATTTCAATGGTTCATGTTGTCCAAATATTGACACAGTTTCTTGCCCACAAAACGAGCTCAGAGCAGTACAGTAACAGACAGTAGTAAAGTAATAGACAGTATTGAATGTTTGGTATGTTACAGGATGCCAAATTTTCTTAGCTCTTTATTGATTCCTTTGGTGCTCGCACTGATACTGAAGATAAGTTTTCCTGATATTGCAAATTCTGAGAGGCGCACAGACCTGGATTCATTGATGAACTCGTTAAATGAGATAATGAACTTTTATATTTAAGTTAATGATTCATTACAAATTAAAAATTACTACATAAAATCAATTGAAATACCTCTTCGTTTAAAACGTAACTTGTGTTCAGACGAGACGCGAGAAAGAAAAAGATCATTTTTAACGGGGTATCCCTTAAAATGTGAATACCTGCGCGCATCAAGTCTGCGGAGAAAGTACCGAATGTTTCAGTAACTCAATTACACTGGCCAGTAGAGGAAATGGTTTAGTATAAATCCTGCGTATGTTGAGGAGGTGTATTGTTTTTCTTTAGCATGTCTTGCTCTTGACATGTTATTCGCTTTCCTTTTTGTTGTATTTTTAATATATACATAATGTTTACATCACATAGTGTTGATCAAGACTCATTCGAAACATAGTAAATAAAATAAAATTTATTCCTTAACCTGCATTTTGATCAACCAACGTCACCTGAAGAATATTGTTCGACCATGGAAATTTAAATCAATTCTATGGTCATTAACCTTCCGTGTTTAAACAAGCTTATTCTGCCATCTAATACTAACATATTACAGTTATGTATACATGTTTGATTGATTATGTATACGTGTATACATAATTGTAATATGTTAGTATTAGACGGCAGAATAAGCTTGTTTAAACACGAGCGGTTATAGAACATAAAATTGATTTAAATTTTCATGGTCGAATAATGTTCTTCAGATGACGCTGGTTGATCAAAATGCAGGTTTAGTTAAAAAATTTTAATTTATTAACTACATTTTGAATGTGACAACATTCATTTTTAAGATATGGGAAGCATTGAATACGGAAATTTAGGTGGAAATAACTACACGATACACGTGAATATGAAACCACACGAGAATTTTTTTATTGATGAATAGACTCAATCTCACTTTTACTAAATTTTCTAATCTTTCAGAATGTTTCGGATTTTTTTTTACGGTTCCAAATTTTTGTGTTTTAGACAATAATAAATTATCTCCCGGAAACATTATATTTGAACTGTACAATTCCACAAAAAGCCTGATATACCAAATAGAGAAAAACAACAGGAGAATAATAAATAAGATATACCATCTGCATGGTGAATAGGATACCATCTGGTATTCAATTAAACTTGTGTTAAGGAACAAATTTTGCGTAACTACACAAATTGATGGCATACATGCCATTAATGGAATTATTCCTTCAATGCTAAAAATCCAATTGATGGGATATTGATTTGTGTATTTTATAAATACTTTGAATATTTACATAACTACGTGCACTAATATTCAAAGTATCCATGCAGGTGTCACTCAAAGTACACATACACACGGCAGTCGCACACATGGCATGCGCAGTTCCTGACACAAGTATTTTTCAGCGTGCCGCCATGTCAGAAGCGTTCTCTGCACGTTCATTTCCGAACAAAAATCGCATGTGATAATTTTTACTTGCGATAGGCACGCGCTGTCGATACAAAAACTCGGCCTGGCCGATAACCCTGGCCTGAAAAATCCTGAAAACGATAAAGGTTAACAGCGGCGCTGGCCTGGGAAGCTTCCCCGGTTCGTGAGGAACCTGGGGGAGGGATTAGAACCAACACTCAGGGATATCAGAGGGACTTTATTCAAATAACGGTCCACTTTAGATGCTGCATCATCATGCATGTCTAGATGTCGCGTCATTTCGTCTCAATGCGGCGCAGAGATCGGAAAAAATTTCGACATTTTAGCGGCCTGAGTCACCCAAGCGTCAGCCGCAGTGCAGTTGTTCACCCAAGCGTCAGCCGCCGTGCAGTTAGTCACCCAAGCGTCAGCCGCCGTGCAGTTAGTCATTGCACTACACTGCCACACAGTTAGTACACTAGTGATCTATGGACACTAGTGCACTACACTGCCACACAGTTAGTACACTAGTGATCTATGGACACTAGTGCACTACACTGCCACACAGTAAGTACACTAGTGATCTATGGACACTAGTGCACTACACTGCCACGCTAGTTAGTACACTAGTGATCTATGTGCACTTGTACCCTCTACTCCTCACTATAATGCGTATCTATTAACTAGTTCATGTACCCTAGCACTATCCACCTAATCAAACATGTCAACCAAACCCTCAATAATTCCCCCTAACCTTTAACCTTTCGTTAACCATGTTGCTGTGTCGCCCTCTATCCCTGCTCCTCTTTTCCTTGTATTTCTTCGCATTAACAGCGTAATTTTCTCTCTTATTTATGTTCCGTTTCATGGTTATTAGATTTGTTACATTCTATTTGTTGGGAAAGATGTAATGGTATTCCTATGGGGGCTGGACTTGCACGCCACTATTGGTATTCCTACGGGAAATGCAAAATCGCAAAATCCTTGATTGCAATGAAAAAATTTTTTAAGAGTAGTCCAAAATTTTGACTTGTGTCATTTTGTATTTGAAGGGAATATTAAAAAGTTTATTTTTCAATTTTGTATCCACTGAAGGTTTTGCTTTTTTCCTCTACTTGCCTGCCTGTGTTCTAGGTTATGCTAGATTATTTGCCTATGTATATCCTATGCGTCTAGAGCTTTGTTGACTTAAGTTGAGCTCGTTAACGAACTAATTAACCAAGACTCACACATATCTTCATTTCAGTTACTAATTAGTTACTTAGTTTCTTATTAGTTATTAAATGCTTGCTTTACAACTCAGCTAATCATCAATGAAATGTTTAATATTTTATTAATTAGTTTATTCTATGTTATCGACTATATATAGCTGCGATTGTTTACTTGGTCCTTAAGATAATCCTTCCGAAAAAAAAATATATTGCTCTACTTTTTTTTGCCTACTTTTTTAAATTCATTTCCATGCTTTCACATTCATTGCTCTAAATTCATTTGAATTTAACTATACATGAATTTTGTAGCAAGTTTGTTCCCGGCTGAGAAAATCTTACTTTAT